TATATACAAATATATATATGTAAATATATATGTGTAAAGGCAACGCGAAGCGGAAAAACACTTTTACTCGAGTCGCTGTCGACAGCCCGTAAAATTGACAAGCCGTAAAAAATGTACGTATAACGCACCCATGCTATTTGTCGAATGGCTGAATGCATGTAGAGCAGCAACTTTGCGCTTTGATGACCCATAGACCAGCGTCAAATAATATTACGCCATAAAAGCGGGGCATTGTGCAAAGTAAGCTGAATATATACAATATACATATATTCAGGCATTTACTTAGTTATAGCTGGCAGCCCCTGCCTTACCCTTACGTCGCGCTCATTACTGTTATACAAGCCATAAAAGTATGCCTAATGTGAATACTTAAATAGGAAGAAAGGACCTCAGACTTCGCCGCGTCGGGACATTTAAAAATATACAGTGAGTAATGCTGAAAATACGCATCGATTTTAGCAGTGCCAAGAGCAATCGATTAATCGATTAAATTGACCTTTAGCATCCACATAGATACAATGTCGTCGTATATAAAGCATGTTTATGTAGTCTAGTGTTGAATTGAGCTTTATTTACGAATTGCCAAAATTTGCATTGAAACCAGTTGAAATCAATTGATTCCGCTATACTAAAGCAAATCGAATGGAAGCTTTTGTATATATTTATTTGTGTATGTATTTATATACTTTGTATACATATATTTCTATGCATGAAGGGTATATTAGTTTTAGTTCAGTTCAACTTAAATGCGTAATATAATATAACTGTTGTGCCCGTCTTTGCATCCCCAAGCAAAAGTTTACAAACGCAGAAGGTGAAATGGAATCATGTAAAGTAGAAACCGGCTATAACGACTCCGCTCATAGCGTCCGTACGGTTACTGCGACAAAAATTCTGATCACCAGGCAAACTTACATGAGCAAACTTGTACGGCTATAGCGTTTTTACGGTATAACGACGGTCCATTGGGCGTCGTTATAACTGGATACTACTGTATCTATCTACATGTAATTGAGTGCTTGATGCAACGTTCACAGTTTCATAACCAGTAATATTTATTCAGCTAGCACATTCTTGGCCTAACTAAAGCCTGCTAAAGTCAGGCATATCAACCTCCTATATCAACTTAACTAAGCCGGCGCATGGCTGCAACTATAAATGTGTAAAAGATACAGCAAAACACTTTTCATGTAACAAAAGCATTAAGTGCTTTTACAAGTAACGCCTCAATTTGATTTTAATTAATATCATAGTTGACTTGTGTAATGCTGCTATACAGCTCTAAAAGGAATCATAGCTTCAAGCTCTAAGCTTCCTGGAATCAATTTGCWGCGAACAGACGATTTAATTAATTAATCGAGAGGAAAAGTTATCAAAGCCTTAAGTTTGTAAGCGCCTCGCTATGCCTCAGCTGAGCGGCCATGAAGCCAAATGGCTCTAAAGCTTCGATGAATACATACATATATAAAGTGAGCCAATGGAGGGCTAATTAGATGAGCCAGATTCTTAATTTCGTTCAATTTAAATCTTTTTAAGAGGACTTTGTGAATATGCAAATAATTGTTGGTAAATTATTGAGTCCGTCTGTGTGCTGCTATGCGGCACTGTTGACAGTCGTCCGAATTTAATTGGCATGAGCCAGCAAATCCAGGCATGACCCTGTTTTCGATTGCTTTCTGGTTGGCTGCGTTCACGCGGCGTATGCGTAATGAAACTGACCGACAGCGTCGAGCTGAGCCCATGCAAGGCAATTTGCGAACACATATCTAAAAATTCATAGATTTGCATATGAATGGCCCAGTTTACACAGAGTTGCCTGGCAAACAGCAAATCACAGCCCCGGCCTCGTATAATTAAACTGTCGACATAA